TTTTTTTATGTATGTTACCGCATAACTTTGGACCACGTCAACCGATTTCGATAATTCTTTTTGCATCGGAAAGGCAGTGTCTCAGAGGTAGTCCCATACTAATCTGGTTAAGATCCGATCAGCGGATCATGAGATATATATATATATATTTTTTTTTTATATGAGAGTTGAAGTCGGTTTTTTTTTTGCTAAAAATTACTAGTTTTCAATATTTTTTTTTCTGAGATGGCATATTTTCAAAAACTATTTTTTTTATCAAAAATTTAGTATGTAAAAAACTTTTCAAGTAAAAAAATTTCTAAAATATTCATAGAGAATTTTGATGTGTGTATGTGTGATTTTTGTCCATTTTTTCGCCCCGTTCTCGAGATATTGGAAAACTATTAAATCGATTTGTTTTTGTTTTTGTGCTGTAGGGTTTTTAAAAATGTATTAATCAATTTCATATTTATTTATTGTTTATATATGTGCATCAACCCTAAAAATTTGAAAAAAATCACACACATGAAGTGTGAACCCCGTCCATTTAGGTATCGAATGCCCCATAAACAAGCTAAGTTATGAACACGAGTTGTACATGCTTGAATTGACTTTTAAGGAAATTTCCACGGCATAAGCAAGTTAAATAAAAGCTTTTAAGTACCAAAAAAAAAATTTTATAACTATATACGAGCAGCTTCTTGTAACGTTTTCTACAACACCAAAAAAACTAACGAATGTTATCGGGCAAATCAACAAACTTTTTTCGACATTAAGAATTTTCATACAACTTTTTTTGTGATCCCCATGTGGGGGTGTCCTGAATATGAGTGCCTTGGACCGCGACTACTTCGACGCATGCTTTAATCCGCTACGGGCTGGACTCCGGTTCGGGCTTTACTATTCATACAAGTCAAAGGATTCAGCAGAGAAACTTGAGTTAAGTTATTTAATATTTTGTATAATAATACTTTTCCCTCTCTCTTAGGAGCCTGCAAAGCATCCATTGTAACAGCTTTAAAAAACTTTGAAAGTTATAAATTAAAAAACAAACTCATAAAAGCAAAACATGCATACGCACAAGTGAAATTTTTTCGCTAACCCTCAACAACTATGCAAAACTTTTCTTAGTTCACTTAAGCGCACTTTCATACGTAAGTGTGCCACTAAGTGAAAATACTACATTACAGCGATTACGAAATTTACATAACTACTTTTGCACAAAATAACCTTAAATGATGGGTCGTAAAACAGACAAAAAACAAACGATAAAATGTGCTAATTACGAGGAAGCGAATTGCAACTGAGCCCAATAAACGACCAAACATTGTACGAAATCTGTAGTCACCCATTAAAAGTCAGAATGGCAGGTGGCCTGTACATTTCAGAAAATTGCTTCGGCTTAGAGTAGAGAAGTATGTATGCGAGATCCGCTTGATTCCAGTTTAAAACACAAATAAAAACTTTTAAATTTTAATTTAAGTGAAAAATTATTTTTTATATCTGAATTAAATATGGAAACTAACAAAAAAAAAACAAATCATTTTTCACTTAAATTGCTTTCGTTAAGCCGGCAGTAAGTGTCGAACTTTTCAAATCGTTACTGAACGATGACACGTAAATATGTACGTATGTATGTATATATAACTCTATACAGAGTATATTCAACAGGTGACTAATTTAAGTTATCAATATGTAGCAAGGTGGGCATAGGTGTAGAAGTCTTGAAAATATAAACTCAAAAAGCAGACCCACGGTATTACTGAAAGGTCGTTGGACCTTGAATGCTTCTTTACTCATTCACCTGACTTGCGGATGGTCGGGCTTCGACTCTGAAGAATAGCGAAGAGGTACAATTAATTCCATCTTGTTCAAAGGAAGCCAACTCGCGTAAACGCTATAGATTTGTGTGATGGCTGAACCCTTCCACTACCAGCCACTAGTTAGTTTTACCTAAGGAAATTCCGTGTAGAAAAATACTTAGAAACTTTAGCTCTAATCCTTTTGCCTTTGCCTTTATAAATCTCTTCCTGGTTCACTGCAGCAAAATTCCATTGACTAATTTACAACTTAGCATCCAGCCACATGAGACTTTTTTTGATTAAATTGTGTGTGTGTGTATGCTATACTTATCTGTTATCTCCTTGCTAGGGCTGACAGCAGTGTGTTTGCCAGAAGCGATGTAATGCTACAAAAAACGTACGGCAACATTTTATATTTCTTTTTTTTTCCTACGCATGTATTTTGTAGCATAGCATCGCTTCTAGCAAGCACTCAGCCGTCAACCGTAGATACTTGTTAAATATTTATTTCACTGAATAATTTTTATATTAGCTTGCCTAAAATAAACTCAACTACATTAAGCTCATACAATTTAATTAAGTACACAAAACGAAACTATGTATATGTGCTGCAAGCCGTACGATTTATTGACCCCATAGGAACAAAATAATAGATTGGCGTTAGTAGTGTTTGGCCGAGCTTCTCCTCCATAGGAATATCCATAATAATATTGCAGGACTTTCTTTTTCCTTCTCAGGAACTCTAGAGCTATTGAAAAGTAACTCAGAACAGTTTTTTTAACCGACTTCATAAAATGGAGAAGGTTATCAATTCGTCGGAATATATGTATATGTTTTTTATATATTACCGCATAACTTTGGGCCACGTTAACCAATTTCTATCGGATCACTGGATCATAAAGAAATAAACGATAATCTTAAATTTGTAAATGGGAATTGAAGTGGGTTTTATTTTTGCTTAAAAATTACTTGTTAATTTAATATTTTCGACATTAAAAAAACAAGTTTTTTCGGCGTAATTTTGCAGAACTTTTTTGAGAACTCTAGAACTATTAAAAGCTACTCAGAAATTTTATTTTTTTTTTTTACTTTTTGCCACATGTTGTTTGCTAGGTGAATCTGGCATACAAAATTTTTGAAATTTTTTTTTTGGCAAAATCTGTAGCATTTTTTTCCTTTTAAATAACTCTAGAACTTTTGAAAAGCTACTCGGAATAGCCTTTTTTTTGTATTTAATCGTCATACCGTATGCCAACTTCACAGACATTACACACGAGGCAACGGTCGAAGCAATATGCCTGGCTGCTTCAACGGTTGCCTCGTGTGTAGTCAGCAATATATGAATGGGCTTATAATGGTTAAAATATGTACATATATTAAATATCTGAGACCTGCGCTATCAATTCTCTATAAAAATCCCGATATATTTTTGCTCCTACCTCTGAACCAATAAAAATGCGCTTCGCTACGAGTGCAATTAAAAAGCGTTCTTACTGCTTTTTTAAAAAAGTTGAAGTTTTCCCATTACCTCAAGTTTTGCTTCAGGGTTTATAGCTGTGACTGGTTGCTTAATAAGCTTACATACTCGTAGAATCGTTCTTACGGTGATGGTAGGTTACATAAGGCAATTGCGTAATCCAGTTTTTCTAGTATGTATGTATGTACCTTACTATTGTTGTTACTTTGCACTACTTATTTTTATTCTCTTTTTTATCGCTTCTTGCAGCCGCTGTTGTCGTAACATTTTTCATATGTTGGCTGCCATTTCATATGCAGCGTCTTTGGTTCCTCTATGCCAAGGAAAACAACAATTTCCAAGAGATAAACGAATGGATGTTCTCTATTGCCGGCTTCACCTACTATGTGTCGTGGTAAGTACATTTTTGCTGTGGTAAATGATTGTATGTAGACTAACTTCAAACTTAAAGCAGAGCGAATAATGTGGCATATTCATTTAAGTATAAAAATTTATATACTTTGGTGTACTTACATATAAATGTGCAAATACATATGTACAGATGTACATAGTAATAGGTACAAAAGACTGGGTTTATTTTCATACAAATAGATATAAGTTTGCCATTACCCAACTCAAA